GACATATTTCAAGCATTAATTTCTCATGATGAAATGAGAATTATACTTACTCTTAATATACATATATATAGAATTATTCTAATACACGTTGCGTTACGGATAAGCGTTTTTACTGGGGTTACAATTGACTAATTTAAAGGCTCCAAAAGAGTAAATATGTTATTATTTGAAGGATAAATTTTATTATAAATAATGTATTATTCTCTTTAAAGTTTCGTAAAAATTTATTGGGTTTTAAAAATATTCGTTTAAATTGATATCATTTTAAAATAACAAATGTGAATACTTATATATTATAATTATTATATCGAATAGAAAATATGTATTGAATACCGCTTTCTCTTTTGGTTTTTATTACAAACATTGGAATGATTAAAACAAATGCTACGATAAACTAGAAGTTAACTAATTCGGATAATTTTATTATATGATATGATCGATTGTGTTATCTTGAGTCTTTTATGGTGCAAAAAATTATTAAAAATTCATATGGACATCTATCGAAGAGCCAGAAAATTCTTCAATTTAATGAATTTTTATGTTCCGTATATTGTCAAGGCAAATTGATGATTAAGCTATCGTTAAGTAAAATTAAGACTAAACCTCTAGTATTTTTAGAATGTATTCAAGGTGATATATGTGGATCAATTCATTCACCATGTGGACCATTTAAATATTTTATGATTTTAATAATCGTATCCACAAGATGATCACATAGATGCAAATTATCTACCGAAAACTTGACATTTTCGAGATTACTAGCAAATAATTTGATTTCGAGCATAATTTTCAGATTATGTCATTAAAAAAAATCACCTTGATAATGTCGGTGAATTTATTTCTCAAGTGTTAAATTATTATTGATTGGCTATTAGAATAAAGGTTGAGCATCCCGGTACTCATGTTCATACTCGTAAAGGTTTAGCAAAACTATTATTTGAAATAAAACTCCATGTTTATGTTTGGGGACATGTAATCTTCCATGCGAGTAACACTTATTTGCATCAAACCTATAAGTTATTAGTAATTCTTTCACCTTTAATTGATTTAGGGTCATGAGCCAAATATTTCTTATTTAAAATTTTTTTTGGCATTGTAGTATATATCCGCGAGTGTTCTTCCATAATGAACTAAAATGTGCACTTAAAGGAGATTGAAAGTATATGTTGGATTTAAATCCTTTTCGATAATTAAATATCTTGAATCATGAATAGGAGACAATTACGACTCGATTTATTGACTCGTCATTTTCATGAAACAGTTTTTTCAACATTAAGCAAAGGGAATAAACAAAATAAGCGAGTTGAAAATATTAGAAAAAAATTACATGGAGTATCGTATCTTATATTATCTTGATCCTCGTATAAAGCAATGTGAATTAGAAGTTCAAAAGATAATTCATTACAAGGTATCGTAAACTAACCGTCATATGCATTCTCATATTCTAAATGAGTAACTAAAATACATGTCTTCACCGAGAATACTTCTATTAGAATTAATGTCCCGTAATGACATTTTATTAATGTTATAGCTAATGAATCTAAAACATGTCCGAAGCATGAAAGATCGATCGGTTATACAAATAAAAATCCCCAAAAGAAGAAGGCAAGATGAAAATATAAAAGATGCAAATATTCATAAAATGATCCAAGATATTTTTGATAATAGGCTTATGGAAGAAGTCTAAATGCTTGAGAAAAATCAAGAGACTTTGATAAATTATATCAATACAAGGAGAAAATAAAACCAAAAAGAAACATTTATTGATAAGATTTTTACATATAATATTTCAATTAATATCTTGAATGAAAATAAGGATCTTGGGCCTAAATTTATTGAAGAATGTTGACATAGAGATGATTGACCTAAACGAAAAGATCAATTTAGGTAGAATTATGTTCTCTTACAAATGAATAGTTTTTGAAGCCATAGTCAAAACACTCGAAGATATTAAGTTAGTAGGATAAAAATATGTATTTATGCAAAAACGAAATAAGAAAGATGAGATTATAAGATACAAAGCAAAACTTTTCACACAAGAGTTTTCGCTAAAAGCGGCATTGATTATGAAGAGATGCATTGTCATGGAATGGATGCTATTACATTTCATTATCTCGTTAGCTTGGAAAAATATATGAAAAAATTCATATGCATGCATTTAATAAATCCGATCACAGTTTATTTGTTCATTTGAAATGATATCTATATGAAAGTCCTAGAAGGATTAAGATGCCTAAAGCATGTAATACATATTCTCGAGAAATGAATTAAATTAAATTATGGAGATCTCTATCGAATTATTTTAGTTTTAGTTTTATTATTTTAGTTTTTAGAAATTCAATTTATGCTATACTTTTTATATTTATTTTTATTTTTTAATATCTACTCTTTATTATTAACCTATGTGCATGTGGTATAATTGTTTCAATAAATATTTATTAAAAAAAGGTTATAAAAATAACTATATTTATTCATGTATTTTTATAAAAAAATTCGAAAAGGAGTTTGTGATAGTTGCTATATATGATGATGATTTAAATATTATTGAAATCCCCGAAGAGATTCCAAATGCTATAAGTTAGCTAAAACGAGAATTTGATATGAATATCTTGGGTAATAAAATTTTATCTCGACTCGCAATTTGAGCACTTAAAGAATGATATTTTTATTCATTAGTCAATTTATATAGAAAAAGTTATACAATTATTCTATATAAGATCATCCATTGACTAGCTCAATGGTATTTCATTCACTTGATATTGAAAAAGACCATTTTCGACCTCGAAGATAACAAAGACCTACTTGGTCCCGAAGTACCATATCTTACTACCACCGGTGTATTGATATTTATTGTTAATAATACTTGACCTAATATAGTCTTTTATATAAATTTATTAGCAAAATAGTTCCGTTCCAATATGGAGATTGGAATGGAAATTAACATTTCCTACATCATCTTCGAGAAAAATTTGATATGGTATTTATTTTACCCAAATAAATCAAATTCAAGTTTAATTAGTTATGCGGATGCGTAGTTATTTATCCGATATGGTATTGATATTTATTGTTAATAATACTTGACCTAATAAAACTCAATCACAATTGGGTTATGTATTTACACTTGGTAATACAGCTATATCATGACGTTCTATGAAGTAAACTATAGCTGCTAAATATTCAAACCATGCAAATATACCAATTCATGAGAGAAGACAAGAATATGTTTGGCTAAGATCAACAATCCATTATATTCGAGATACATGCACTTTATTAACCAACAAAAGAAGTTCTAACAATATCATATGAAGATAATGTTGCTTAAATAATTCAATTAAAGGAAGAATTCGATCAAGTGATAATCCAGTAGATTTGTTCACTAAGGCATTACCTACTATAACTTTTGAGAAGATGATTTACAAGATTGAAATACATCATCTTAAAAATCTCAAATGATGTTTTCAACGAGGGAGGCCAAAGGCCAACATTAAGATTAATGTGTACAAGGAGTATTGTACTTTTTTTCCTTCATTATGATTTTTTCCCATTGGGTTTTTCCTAGTAAGATTTTAATGAGGCATGTTCTTTGTATGATGGACATTCGAGGGGAGTGTTATGAAATAATGAATGTCCATTTTATATTCTCCACTATTCATATGATTCAATTTACCATTCAATATCGAAATTGAAAGGATGATGCAATTTATTCAATTATTTATGCATCTTTTAATGGTTCATAATCCTTTCAAATTCTCTTCTTAATCTTGAAGCCTATAAATCGACTCGATTGTTCATTAGTTTACGTACTAGTATTTTATAAAGATTGAGAGATTATTTTAGAGTTGTTATCTCTTGTATTCACTTTATCTTATAGTGAATTTGTTTTTCTATCATCTTTCTCTTCTATTTTACCATTTTTATCATTTCTTTCATAACAATCGGAACAAGAAATTGAAAATTAAAATAATATTTAATGATATAATAAATGTAATTAAACACCTAAAAACAAATTGAAGACTCATGATGTTATCTAAAGACATATTAATATATTTACCTTTGAAAAAATGCCATAAAACACATTGTAATCTTCACAAGGAAGAAAATAAGAATAATTAAAACTATAATTAACAATAGAGATTTGAGAAGAAAAAAATGTTAACAAAATACTACGTGGAAAATCAAGGGACATGGCTAGTAAACAAAATACTATACCGAAAACTAACGAAGGATTTAAGAGGAAAACATTGTGAGGTGGCTGAGCACCCTGTTATCCATATATTTTCCTAACTTTTCAAAGAGTCTACTTTTCTGAGGTCAAACATCGCCTGACAACAGATCAACTCCTTTTATTATATTATTAATTACTAGCGTCCACGTCATAAATTTTAAAATATACCAACTGCTTTTTTTTTTCCCCCAAGAAGAAAGAGTTAGAACATACCTTTTCTTTTCTTTTTTAAAAACACTTATTTTGTTTTATTAGCAACTGCTACATCAAATTGCGATTTACTTAATATTCAATCAAATCTCAGAAAAGAGTTCAAAATAGCATGTCGGCGATATCCTAGTGCTAGTATTGGGAACTGCTGTTTCTAACAATTTTGCACCACGTGCACACCTTTTAACAATGACGATTTCAAGATTTGGATCATTAATGTCATGAATGTCTTAACTATTTTGATATCGAGGCGGATTTGGTTTGTGAACAAGCTCAAGAGATCTACCAATTACTTCAAGATTAAGGCTTTGTTTTGTTTTTTGTTTTTTGTTTTTTTGTTTTTTATTGAAGATTGAGTCTTTGTTGCTGCTGTTGTTGTTGGTTGTTGTCGTATTATTCATGTCTAGGGCTAGTCAATCATCTTCATGAATCATGCATGGCCATCATCAGTTCATCACCGTAATCCATGTCTTGATGGTCAACAAGGTTAATTAGCATTATCAGGGTTACAGATATTGAAAACTTTGGAGGTTTGAAGAAGCTTAAATAAAAGAAGGGAAGAAAAATGGTGAGAGAATCACTTCTTGATCAACAACAGCAAGAATCATCTTCTTCCCATGATTCTTCCTTGCCTACATCTCTTCTCAGAAAATTGTATATTGGCCACTTCTTAGGAAGATGGGATGCCAGGTTTTCGCTCTATCCCTCAGTCCCTACTGCAGATTTGTTTCTCTAGTTGCTAGCATTCTGTGTGTTTGTTTGTCTGTGGTTGTGTAAATTTGACATATGTATATGTTGAGATTGTTTTCGAGGTTAAAGAGTTATTGCTCATTAGTGCAAGTAGTAGCGTTTTTCTCAAGCAAGATTTCCTTCTTGAAGCCAAAAGATGACCAAATTATGTTTTATTCAGTATCTCTTTTCTGTTCTTTTCTTTTTTTCCTGAAGATTCTGTAAACTGTTCTGGCAACTTGTTTATAGGCCATCTTTCATATGGACTGGATTATAGATTAGACAATCAATTGACTCAAACTTGTTGTGCCTAAGCAAAACTGTGAGAAATGAAATTGCTAGTCTCTTGTGCAAGATTAAGATATAACCATTCTGTTCCATTTCTCTTCATTTGTTTGCTATTATCTCTGCAGAATGTGGGAATTCTCTGTTGGTTTGTACATGATCACTCTTTGGCCGGATTCTTTAATCCTTCCTGCTATGTACGGTGCAATTGAATCTGCTTCTATTGCATTGTTTGGTTCCATCATTGGACAATGGGTGGAAAAGTTGACTTATGTTAAGGTTTGCTCAAGAATTGTTACCTTGAAGCTATACATTATTGAAGTTACAAATGTCAATTCTACCGGAAAAGATTGACATTTCAGATAGTATATAAATTTCTTCTCTCTCTCTCTCTATTCTTTTTTAATATCATATATATATTGAAGAAATTTCGAAAGATCCTTTCTAAAATGATCAAATTTCTTGACATTCTGTGCGGAAGCTGCAAATTTTCATCAAATATTGTGATAGTTTGAAATTCACATAACTTTAATAGAATTCAATGAAAAGGCTTTTACCAAATCTAACTGATTTCACAGCAGCTCTAGTCTCCCCTAACTATTAAAATCAGAAATGTCTTTCACCATTTGTCATATCGGGCAAGGAAAATATGGCACATAAGCACTAATGAATGTTTTTATGTAACTGGCTTCCAAGCATGTATATTTGCTTAATGGACATCTATTCGCAGGTTCTCCGAATTTGGTTGGTCACCCAGAATCTGTCCTTTATAATAGCCGGTGGCACAGTAATTGCATTACTGTTCTATCCAAACTTGAAGTCGACAAATTTCACAGCATTCATCTTTCTTGTGATATTAACCAACATCTCTGGAGCTGTTGGGGTGCTTTCCTCTCTTGCCGGTACCATCTTAATAGAAAGAGAATGGTAATTTAAGGATCACTATGTGGAGTAGTAATCAAAATTTGTCTAGTATTGTTACATTTTCTAATTTGATAATGCAGGGTGGTGGTGATATCAGAGGGGCATATGCCCGGTGAACTAACAAAGATTAATTCAATTATCAGACGAATCGATTTAACCTGCAAGCTGCTTGCTCCTGTTATTAGTGGCTTCATCATGACCTTTGTATCAGTTAAAGCCTCTGCTATGACTTTAGCAATGTGGAACACTATAGCAGTGTGGCTGGAATATTGGCTTTTCACATCTGTATATTATGGCATTCCAGCTTTAGCTGAAAGTAGCCAAAGGAGGAGTTCGCGACTTTCACCAAGTGAGATAAAAGAAATCGAATCTACTTCTTCAGAAAGAGGGAGCTTTATATCTCCAAGTGGAGAAAATTCAGCTTCGGTGGATTTAGGATGGACAAGGGGATCAACTCAATATTTTTCGAAGGTTCCTTTTGTCGGTGCTTGGCTCGTGTATTTACAGCAAGATGTTCTGCTCCCTGGAGTAGCTCTGGCCTTGTTATATTTCACGGTGCTTAGGTAATGCCCCGCTTATGATTTGTGTTTATGGCACATAACTGAACGCTCCAGAGACTGAGACTACTCCCATAGCCTGTTTGAGTGGTCTTCTTTCACCGGTATTTTTTTGAAGAGAGAACATAAAATTGAATTATGAAATGGAGATTGCAACATGAACTAGAGATGTCTCTTTGACTATCCATGTTTAAAGGAAGAGTATACTACCTTCCAAGCATATGGATTGTTTGGCATTACATGCTGACCTCAGATAGTTCTTTTACTATTTGTCCCCTCTATCTCATTAGGATTTGGCTTTAGTTCCTAACTTTTATAACTTCTTAATGATTATACTTTTCCAGCTTTGGTACCTTGATGACAGCTACCTTGGAATGGGAAGGTATACCTGCATATGTGATTGGAATAGCACGTGGAATAAGTGCTATAATTGGAATAGCCGCAACAGTTGTGTACCCACTCTTACAATCTCGTATTTCAATTCTCAGAACAGGACTTTGGTCAATCTGGTCTCAGGTACATTTCTTAGTAATTAAGACCATCTGAAAGTAATTCTGTTTTGCTAGGAGTCCCCTCGAAGTTACTTCCGTTCCCAGTTTTGATTTTTATAATTTTCCTTATCTGTGCATTTCGAGCAGTGGACCTGCCTTCTAGTATGCATTGCTTCAATATGGGTTCAAAATCATCTTTCTTCAGCATACATGCTGATGGCTGGAGTAGCTACGTCTAGGCTCGGCTTATGGATGTTCGACTTGTCTGTAATCCAACAAATGCAGGTCAGATAAACCATCATGCTAAAATAACGCTATAATTCTCTTACATTGTTTTTCTACATCACCTCCTTTTTATGTCTGCTTAAGTTAACTTTGGCTTAAAGAAAATGTTCTTATGTTCTATAAACTCTTCTTGTTATTTTTTTTTCGCCGGCACAGGATCAAGTTCCTGAGTCTGATCGTTGCATTGTGGGAGGTGTTCAGAATTCTCTCCAGTCTACTATGGACTTGTTGGGTTATGTTATGGGCATAATTATCTCCAACCCTCAGGTAATCATCCTTGGACCATGCCTTTTCTGCAATACTTTAACAGGTTTGGACTTTCATGCATTAAACTTTTTTTATGTTTCACCAGACATTTGAATTTTAGTTCAATTTTCTCTCCTGATATCATTCTTCATCTATATTAACAAAACTCTTCATTGTTGTTCAGGATTTCTGGGAGTTGATCATATTATCCTTTTTGGCGGTAACAGTTGCTGCATTACTTTACAGCATACATCTATATCGAGTTCGAAAGCACCTTTTTCACTTCGAGAAGTTGTTTACATCGGTGAAATGGGTGATCATATCACCGTCCTCAGAAAATTTACTGGAATCAGATCTACCTAGGTAGGATTCGCGCCTACAGTCTGCCACTAAGCTACGAGCTTCAAGAGAGATTAGGCCCCATATTAACTTTTCAAAATACATTGATCTTTTGTGTTAGGATATGATCCTTTCTTTTTCCCCAAGAACAGAAGGGCAATTTGTTACTATTATGTTTCTACTCTTATGCTTTCAATAAATCATACTGCATGATCAAATGCTACGGCAAGGTATTGTGATTGGCTGGTATAATAGAGGAAGCATATACAAGATTATGCAGCTTGATAGTCGGTGCTGTATTCTCCAGGTAACTCGAGACAGAAGAAAGCAAAGAAGGATGATAGTTTGGCTAATGGTCTGCCACAGGCTGTGTTATGTAAACCTGACTGGGTTAGGTGATATAGAATCCCATAATCATCAGAATTTCTCTAAGATGATGAACTAAAATGATTCTTGCAAAAGAAGATTAATTTTTTTAGGCACAAAAAGGCACAAAAGCTCCTTGTTTTCACGTTCTGATTTTGTGTGTGGTATCTATAAAGATTCAATCTTGGGGTCTTCAATTCTTTTATGGGAAAATCTCTTTCTAAAATATCCATACAGCTAGTTAATCATCACTCAAAAAAACATCTAAAACCCACAAAACAAGCAAAACCCACATCAAGAATTCAACAGTTAACGAAGATGGAGACCAGTTCTGATTTAGACAAGAGCAGCAGCAGCAGCAACGGTAGTGGTAACTGCAACAGCACACGTTTGCCTTTATCAGTGGTTGTGTCTGATTGTATTAAGAGGTGTTTTAAAGACGCACTCAAAGAAGCCAAAGCAGGAGATGTTAATATGCAAGTTTTGGTTGGTCAAATGTATTATAGTGGTTAAGATGAACAAGAGGTTTGCTTTTTTTGTTTTATGGTTTTACGGTTTGGTGTTGTGTTTGTTTTATGATTTGATTAACTGGGGATGTTGGGCTTTTGAATGATGTGTAGTTGATGATGAATTTGAGAGAATGGTTGTTTGGTGTATGTTTTTTGGGATTGTAGGGAAGAATTTGGATGACAAGAGCATCAAGGACTCGGTCTTGGGGTTGGGAAGTATCTGATAAGCAACCAGGTTTAGTTCTAATTTGTTTTATAATTTTTTTTTTATCAAACACTAGTGTGGCTATTAGTGTCATTACTTATTTTGCTTGCTTTATTTATGATTCTTTGTCAGGTTATACTGCAAGTGATTCAGATTCGGATGAATCGAATGATGATTCTTAATTAGACCAAGAATTCATGTCCAAGAACAACTGAAGGGTGAATTCCTGTCCTGCTTGTTATTGACATTTTTCTCTTTATTTTGATTTTGTTGCATATGCTGTGCTTTGTTAGTATAGAAGGAGATTCCAAGAGTACTTTATAATGTAATCTTTTGTGTGGTTTTATGAGAATTCATCACTAGACATGCAAGTGGCTTTACTTGGTGTAGCTGGAGAACATTACAGATCAGGGATATAAATCCCCCCTCTCCCCCTTCCTCTTAACACTTCCTTGTTTCTGGTTTTCTGCTTGGTTTCCAACTGTCTACCAGGTAAATTTCCCATGTACTTTACGACATAATACAGACTATTTGTATTTCTTTGTCCAGAAAAAAGACTAATATTTATATTTGGTATTTTCCACGTTATTGTACAAAATTTTTTATAGCAGCAAATTAGATGTGAATTCTACTTACAGTTACATCATTAGCACCTTTGGTTCCCTTTTCTGCTAGTTACTTTTGTTGCAGAAATTACTTTTGTATTGTTTTTTTACTACTTTCTTCCTTGTGTTTTGTCCACTTAATCCCCCTTCCCTGCATGATTTAGCATATTTCTGGTCTCCGGCAGATTTATAATTTCAGAGCTCTATAGCTATAAATCAGCAAATTAGGATTTGTCACGATGTTGTTGCTTATAACTATTCTGGTTTAAAAATAAATAATTAAAAAAAAGAAACTTATAGCATTTTCCATTTGACCTGATCACTGCTCTTTTATTTTCATGCTCTATAGGTTTTTTTCCCCCTCAAAGCCATGGTCAAGAGCCTTCTGTTAGTGACATTAGAGGGGCTTTTGGTTTAAAAATAAACAACTAAAAAAAGAAACTTATAGCATTGCTGATTGGTTAGCAAAGGCTGCGAGATTTTTCTTGTGCGCTGCAAATTTGGTTTGCAGGTCATCATCAAAAGATTAGAGGAGTTTTTGGATGCTGATGCTTGTTTTTCTCAATGAATTTTCAGTTTTTTTTTTAAATAATAATTGCAACACAAAAATGACAGAAAAATGATCGGATGCATTTGTGTAAAGTCAGAAGATACCTGAACAGCGAATACTGGGTGGTCCAAAAAATTTTCTTTGAAGATTTAACATGATACTTTGAATATAATGAAAGGGGATGATCACAATGAGGAAGCCAATATATTGTCAAACTAAAAAATATATATTTCTTACGTTTTAAAGTTTCAATTATAATTTTAAATTATACAAACCTAATTTACTAAAGTTCCCTATTAAAATTAGGAATTACATTCCAAGTGCTTAAAACCATTAAAATATTTTTTAATTTAAATGTTTCCATTATACCAAAAAGCTTGTAGTTTGGTAGCAGTGATATGTTACAACAAGTCATGGGTTTAAATAATAGTAAATTAGTTTTGTTAAAAAAAAAAAAAAAAATGTTCCCACTGTGACTTAAGTGGGGGATTAATAATAATAAATAACATGAGCTTTTTAGAAAATACCATCCAATATTTTCTAATATCTTTAGTATAACATAGTATTTTACTTAATAGTTAAAATTTGGGATAATTACTAGAAAAAGTTTCTAAAAATATCTCCTATCTAAAAACCCATCAATTTATTTTTAAATTTCTCAAACTCAAAATAATATTTTTCTTATTAAAATACCTAATAGTTAACTCATTACTTAACACTAGTTATAATTATTTGATGTTTTGGTGTATATATATATATATATATATATATTGTTTTCGGTTTGAAAGAATTAAAAATAAATTGTGGTGGAGTTTTTGGATGAAAGATTTTTTTAGAGGGTTTTTTTAGTAATTGTCTCTATCTTAAATAAAAATCATTGTTTTCAATATATGTATTTCTATTGTGGACGTTCATTTTCTATTTAATTAATATACTAAGATATGTTATACATTCATTGCATAATTTAATTTAATTGCTTGATAAAAAGTTTTAAGTTGGGGTTAATTAAAGACTAGTACTATTGATGGTGGTTTTTTTTCCTATCAATATTTACGAAATCATTAATGTTCATAATCATACATATTCTTGATTTTTTTCTATATGTATGATACCTCATGGATTAAATTACAAGAGAATAACATGAGTCTATTTCATCAATATTAATTAGTTGAATTGCAAGAGAATAACATGAGTCTATCAATATATCGATATTTAAGAAATCATTAATATTCATAATCATACATATTTTTTATTTTTTCTATATGTATGATACCTAATGGATTAAATTATAAGAGAATAACATGAGTCTATTTCATTAATATTAATTAGTTGAATTACATCACCTCCTATAACTATTAGGTAGTATAACTAATTCCTTGGTTGATATAACAAACTTTCGACAAAAAGAAAATAAAAATTCTTACAAAAAAAAAAATTAGTGTAATAAGTGAGAAAATAATAGTTGAAGGTGAGTGTGTCAACAACCAAAAGAACTGAAGAAACTTCTTTCCCTTTTTCTATTGCAATCAAAAGAAATTTGAACTTGATCATGATTGAGAAAAAATACTAAAAAAATATAAATAAAAAATTCAGTTGAGACTCATTACAAAGTATAAAATGAAATCATTATTAGATGATTATTAGAAAAACTCTTTAAAAAATCTTCTATTTAAAAAATCTACCAATTTATTTTTAAATCTCTCAAATTTCAAACAATATTTTTCTTATTTAAAATTTGAGAGATATAAAAATAAATTGATGAGTTTTTTAGATATAAGATCTTTTTAGAGGGGTTTTTTTTGTAATTCTTCCTTAAAATTTTATGAAGTTAGATTTATATTTAAAAAAGATTATCACGAAAATATTGTTTAATCCGTTTCAAATTTTAGTTAATATGTATGTTTCCTTAAACGATTGTATGTACAAAAGAAAAATGTCAAATTTAAATAATTTTGACTTTTAAAAGTAAAATAGTAATTTCCTAGGTGGATTTCTGTTTCATGCTAGAAGCAGTCGGAAATTTATATTGTTTTGAAAGCAATTTTCTTAAAGTCAAATATAACCTTTTTTTTTTTGTATTATTGATATTGTTTTGTTTTGTTTATATCATATAGTTTTGGTGAATGTATATAAATCTTGTTTATGAAATGGTTTGAGGTAGTGTTATTTTTTAAAGATCAATTATTGTTGTTGTTTTTTAATATTTTTTTTTTCATGGAATTTTGATTTTTTGTTGTTGTTGTTGTTTTAATAACAAGTTAGTGTAATCAAGAATACTGAAATATGTGAAATATAATATTATAAGTATCTTAGAATAAGAGTTTTAATAGAAAAAGAGTAAGAATTATAGAAAAAATCATAAGATAATGGTTAGTGTCTATTTGTTTATTAATCATCTTATCATCAAGGTAATGTGTTGTGATTAATTTGGAAGATGATTGAAATCGAAAGCTAATTTTTTATTCCATAAATAATTGATGTTTATGTTTTTTATATATATATAAATTTTACATTGAAAAGAAATATGATTTTTTAATAAAAATTATAATATCTAAATAAAAAATTTAATCGTCAATGTTTTTTTTAAAACAATAGGAAAACAGAGGATGTTGTCTTTTTTGAATGATTTACTTTGAAAATTGCAGAAAAAATTGTAAATCTACATCTTAAGAGTTTTTAAGATCATAACTAATTACTTTGTTTTGAAATGTGCCTAGAAGTTATAAAAAAAATATTAAATTTGAAAGGTAAATTTTTATTATGTGATTAATATATGTTTATGGTTTTTATAAATTTTGTATTTAAACAAAACATGATTCTTTTTTTTTTTTTTTTTTGCCGATATATTTATTGTTAGATAAAAATTTATAAAAACTAAATTGAAAATTAAATTAAGAATTCAAAAATAAATTAAAGCTTTAATTAATGTAAGTGATTGTATAAAAATTAAGATATTAGAAAATAATTTTATTTTTTTATTTTTTAATTTCGATGGGATGATCACAATTTAGCCCGGAACCAAAACAACAACAGACTCGTTTCACAATCAACACGACAGCCAGCCAAAAAAAGATGAAACCCAAAAAAAACTATTCACCTACAAAGAAAGCAAATCCAGAAGAAAGCTGGGGAGAAACCCAAGGGAAGAGATCAAAGAAAATAATGAATAGAAAAAATTCAGAAAAGACCTTCTGCGCAGTCTCATTAAATGCACTATAGAAGAAGGACAAAAGATGACGAAAAAACACTTGAGTAACAAATTGGAAAAAAATAGAGGCAAAGGTGTAATAGCACAACAACAGTAAAGGGTGCAAACGAAAATAAAAAGAAAATCAAAGGGCCAAAAGAAAACTACCACACTAAAAAAAAAAAAAGGTCAGACGCACCCCGGCTCTTAATGCACAGAACAATCCAAAAAAATGTTGAAAAAAGCACAAATGCGAAAACTGTCAAAAACGATCCTTTGAATAGCTAAAATGAAACCCACAAAATAAAGAGCATGAACACAGAAAACAATCAGTACAATTGAGTCACAATTCGCAATCCACACATCCCTACAATTACAGGAAAATGAACAGTAACGAAGCATTCTATTTTAGTCTTGTTTACTAAATTGTAATCAACTATTTGCTGCAAGGTTCGACGTGGTTTATATATATATATATATATATATATTGTCACAATAAAAAAGTTTAGCTCTCGAAGATAAAAAAATTAAATGGAATATCACTTACTAAAGTGATTGGAATAAGTCCAGCTGGTATTCTCTCTCTCATTTCTTTGTCCCCACCCCCAACATTTTATCACTAAGAACCAAATTGTATCACAAATAAAATTGTGAATCAAAATAATAATTTTTCAAACATAAGGGATCAAAATATAAAATTTTATATAATAAACAAAAAATAAAATAAAATAAAAAACTCATCCAACTCAGCCGCAAATTAACCCAAAATAAAAATTTCTTTATTACTTTTGATGAATCTAATTATGATTTTTTTTATATATCTATCTATCTTTTTTAAAATAAACCTATAAAATAACTATGGTGTAAATCCTCTATTTCTCCACCATGGCAAGATAACTTTAAATAAAATGAAAACAAAAGGAAAGGCAATAAAGCAGACGTAGAATGAATAGAAAAACTGAGTCTTTTATCCACAAAAATTTTAAAAAAAATTGACCCAAGATAGAAAATGTTTTATTACTTTTTATGGATCTAAAAATGATTTTTCTTTTATGTCTATCTATATTTTTTAAAAATAAACCTATAAAATAACTATGGTGTAAATCCACTATTTCTCCACCATGGTAAGATAACTTTAAATAAAATGAAAACAAAAGGAAAGGCAATAAAGCAGACGTGGAAGGAACAGAAAAACTGAGTCTTTTATCCACAAAAATTTTTTTTAAAAAAATTGATTTTTATTACTTTTTATGAACCTAAATATGATTTTTTTTTTTATGTCAATCTATCTTCTTACAAATAAACCTATAAAATAACTATGGTGTAAATTCACTATTTCTCCACCATGGCAAGATAACTCTGAATAAAATGAAAACAAAAGGAAAGGTAATAAAGCAGACGTAGAAGGAATACAAAAAGTGAGTCTTTTATCCACAATCATGTGTGCTTAAGTGCTTTAAACAGAGTTATCTTTTAGGATACCATCATACTTTATATGGTGATATGTAATATCTAAAACTCTGCATACCAAGCAACTGTTGTTATGATCTTTTAGGGCATTTTTCGACTAGCTTTCCTCTATCTATCAAGAACTAACTATAGTCTTCATGCATGGCCAGCCTCATCATCCTCCATGTCTTTACAATTAACATGGTTAATTAGTACTATAATCAGGGTTAAGAGATTCTAAGTTAGGAGGTTTAAAGGTGGGTGAATTAAGTGACAAAGAAACTGAAAGAAAAAGAAGACGATGGAGAGAGAGCCACGTCTTGATGAACAACAACTAGAATCATCTTCTTCCCAAGACTCTTCTCTGCCTACATCCCTCGTCAGAAATTTGTATATTGGCTATTTTTTAGCAAGATGGGATGCCAGGTTTTATCTCTATTCCCTTAGTGGTAGCTTCTTCTTTTTGTGTGTGTGTGTGTGTGTGTGTGTGTTTGTCTGTGGCTGTGTGTAAATTTGGGACATTTTCCTAGCATTTTCTCAAGCAAGATTTTGTTTGTGAAGGAAATGATGACTGAATTATGTTTTCTTTGTCTATTTGTTTTCCCTTCAAGACCAAATTGGTGAACTAATTCAATTATCTGCCATCTTTCTCGTGGACTAGATGATTAGACAATTGATTGAGTGACAATTGTTCCTTAGTGGTAACTTTGACTGTGAGAAATGAATTGCTAGTCCATTTTTTTACGTGGGGTTTCTTTGGTTTTGAATTGTTTGTTTGTTATCTGCAGAATGTGGGAATTCTCTGTTGGTTTATACATGATCGCTCTTTGGCCAGATTCTTTAATCCTTCCAGCTATTTATGGTGCTATTGAATCTGCTTCTACTGCATTATTTGGTCCCATCATTGGACGATGGGTGGATAAGCTGACATATTTTAAGGTTTGCTCGAGCCTTGTTACTATGAATTTATGTTAAATTGAAATTGCAAATTTCCATCCTGCTGGAAAAAATAAAATTTCAGATAGTATGTGCTTTCTAAAACGAAAGCATTTATAGACATTTAGTTCTGAAATGCAAATTTACTCAAGTTTATAATAGTTTCAACCTCATACAATATTACTAGGATTCCCATCTCGTTTGCTTCATCACTACCCATGGACAGGCTAATGAACTGTCTTTTATCAAATCTAGCCATTTTCATCATCAGTACTAGTTTCCTCTGATAGTAAAATTGGGAATGCCTTTCAAAGTAATCACCATCTGAAATGCCCTACACCAGCTTATGCTGTGTTCGTCTATATGACAAGACCAGAAAATATAACAAATAAGCATTAATAAGTGTCTTATGTTGTTGCCTTCCATGCATGTATAGTTTCTCAGTGGACTTTTATTGGCAGGTTCTCCAAATTTGGTTGGTGACCCAGAATCTTTCCTTCATAATAGCCGGATCGACAGTCGTCACATTACTGTTCTTTCCAACCTTGAAGTCATCAAATTTCACCCTATTCATTTTGCTTCTGATATTAACCAACTTCTCTGGAGCTGTGGGGGTGCTTTCCACTCTTGCTGGTACCATCTTAATAGAAAGAGAATGGTAATTGGAGAATTGCATTTGTACTTTGACAAGAGAGTAACGTTATTTTCAATGGACTAGTGTTAGGCAATTGGAGTTGTGATCGAAATTTGAGTACATTTACCTTTCCTGATCTGATGATACTTCTTTCTTAAAATGCAGGGTGGTGGTGATATCAGAGGGCCATACACCTGATGTGCAAACAAAAATCAACTCAATTATGAGACGAATTGATTTAACCTGCAAGCTTCTTGCTCCTGTAATTAGTGGCTTAATAATGAGCTTTGTATCAGTTAAAGCCTCTGCTATGACGTTAGCAATCTGGAATACTGTAGCAGTGTGGCTGGAATATTGGCTTTTCACATCTGTATATACTGGCATTCCAGCATTAGTTGAAAGTGGCCAAAGGAGGAGTTCACGACTTTCATCGAGTGAGACGATAGAGATGACATCTACTTCTGCAGAAAGAGTGGGCTTGGCTTCACAAATCGAAGAAAATTCAGTTTCACTCGAAACAGGATGTAGAAGGAGATTAACTTACTGGTTTTCAAAGATCCCTTTTGTTGGTGCTTGGAGTGTGTATTTACAGCATAATGTTGTCTTTCCTGGAGTAGCTCTGGCCTTGTTATATTTCACAGTCCTCAGGTGATGGCCTGCTTGTGATTTTGTTTATGACTCATAACTGAACAGCATCTCAGGCTATTTCGTTAGTTGTTTGGATGGTCTTGTTTCCTTTATTTCTTGGCAATTCACTAGTCTTCTATGAGGAGAAAAAAGTTAGAAATTGAAACTTATTGTAATTTCAAGCAGACATGTGTCTTCGACTTTCATGTATTCAAAGGAAGAGCATGCTACCTTCCGAGGCATATGGATTGAATAGGATAGTGACCTCAGTATATTTTATGGAATAAGATGCTGACCACAGAACTTTTTCCTACTTTTCCACTTTACCTCGTTATGGATTTGCCATTAGTTCCTAACCTTTACATATTCTTAATGGTTATACTATTCCAGCTTCGGCACCTTGATGACTGCTACCTTGAAATGGGAAGGTATACCTGCATTTGTGATTGGGATAGCACGTGGAATAAGTGCCATAATTGGCATAGCTGCAACAGTCGTGTACCCAATTTTACAATCTCGTATTTCAACTCTCAGAACAGGATTGTGGTCAGTCTGGTCTCAGGTGCATAATTTTCTTCCATTTTCTCCATTAACCCATTTCTTAGCGAAAGCAATCCCAGTTTCGACCCTTACGAATTCCCCTGTGGTGTGCACTTCTGCAGTGGACCTGCCTTCTATTATGTGTTGCTTCAATATTGGTCCAAAATCAACTTTTATCAGCATACATACTGATGGCTGGAGTAGCAACATCTCGGCTTGGCCTATGGATGTTTGACTTATCTGTAATCCAACAAATGCAGGTCAGAGAAGCCATTGTGCTAATATAATACTGAATTTCATTGCGATGTTTTTCTAGATCACCTCTTTTTTTATGCCTTCTCAAGTTGCTTTTTTCTTGAACGATAAGCATTCTAATAATTCTATTATTTTGGGTGGCACAGGATCAAGTTCCTGAATCTGATCGAGGTGTTGTGGGTGGTGTTCAAAACTCTCTCCAATCTACTATGGAATTTTTGGGTTATATTATGGGCATAGTCATCTCCAACCCTAAGGTAATCATCGTTCGACCATGCTAACATGACTCAGCACTTCCTATAGGATATGTACAGAAGCACTTATACACGTAATTAATCACACATGCACACACTTATAATACATCTAATTAATTGCACACTTTTGTAAACTTATCCGTTTCCAAGTATCCATTTCATGCATGAAACTTTTTCTGTTTCACCGGACATTTGAATTAGAATTACATTTTCCTTCCAGATTTCCATGCTTTACACCTTGACTAACTCAGTTTACCGCTGCATTGTCATTCAGGATTTCTGGGAGTTGATTTTACTGTCCTTTTCGACAGTAACATTTGCTGCATTACTCTATAGCATACATCTGTATCGAGTTCGGAAGCACCTCTTTCACTTTGAGAAATGGTTCATGTTGGTGGAATGGGTGATCAGATAATCACCCAAAAATTTATGGGAATCAAATCTTCCTAGGTAGGATTTATACAACCTACAGCCAGTCAGTTAACAGTCTGCCCCTCTGCCACTAAGCTGCTGAACATCAACAGGAGATTAGTCCCTACAGAGTTCAATTCTCACTCTCCACCAGTGACCTCTCAAATGCTCTGGCTCAGGGAACTGGGTCCTCTTTTGTTGCCAGGAACAGCAGAGCAATATTGATACTGGTATGTTTCTGCTTTTAAGCTATCAATAAATAAGGCACCACGATTCAAATGCTATGGGGCATTGTGATTGGCCAATATAAGAGAGGAGGTAACGTTTATTCAGTTTAATCATCGGTGCCCTAATCTCCAGGTAATTTCAGATAGAAGAAAGCAAAGAAGACTACTTTGACTAATAGTTTGCCACAGGCTGTACATGTAAACCCAAGTTAGGTCAGGTAACATTCCATAATCATTAGAATTTCAGTAAGATGATGTAAATTATAATTTTAATTTAAAGAACATCAGTATTTTTCTTATATTTGTAAAACAATTTTCAAACTTGAACTTTAGGAAAGCATCATGCCTGTCTTTTTAGTTCTGTTAGGAAAACGGAAAGTAATCATTCCCATTTCCCACGGCCAAATTTTCTTTTCATGGAGTATATTCCCAGAGATAGTTGACATACATTTTCTTGATTCCATTAGACCTTTAACGATTTCTAGAAAGCTTTTTGACTTCTTGCTTTGGATAGCAATAGACAATGAGCGAATTTTAGGTCAGGAACTAGAGAAACCATGATAACTTTGGTAGCCTTTGTGCTTGATTGTGTAATAAGTGATTCAAGCTTATCCAACTTCAATGGGAGAGGTATCAGGTGATTGACCGCAAGTGGCAGGGCACTGGCATGATTCCTCTTGGTTAGGTCGCTCATAGCTGACTTTGAATGTTACCTGTACTAAGTGGGAAGTTGGTCATGATGCGACAGATTTATTAAACTAAACTTGTATGAGAGCTTTGAACTTGGGTAGTGGCCTCTTGTTTATATGCAAGAGGTCATGGTTCAACTCTTAAATCTGCGGAGTTTTGTACTTGGGTGTGCGTGGTATTAAATGATAGTAATAATTAAAAAAAAAAACTTGTATAGAATCAACCTGTTTTAACTTTTCAGATATAAACAAACAAGGATTCATAGTGTGCTAGTCATTTTCATTTCTTGATTTACTTGGGGGGGATAGTCTTAAGGGCTTGCTTGCCAATAAACCTGCTTGTCAATTCAATGCATATATGTAGGGAAGGTCGGTTCAAATGCAAAATTCCAAGCCCTGGAGGTTGCCTACACAGTTTAACTTGAACCTTCACTGACAAAACCTACACTGGCCTTATGTGATAGGTGGTTTTTTTTAGGATTTAGGATTCGTTTTTGACCGAACTTGTGGGTTCAACCAGGAACCAAATGTTTGTTCACTTGTTTTCTTATAGCTACTGGCCCGGATCTTATTCGACGCAGGTAATGTCACCAAATCCGTGATCTCGGTGCTGGGGAAGATATTCTTTGGATTTACATGATGTTTGTTTGGTTCAGAGATTTGGTTGTAGATGTGATAAGAGAAAAAGGATATTTGGTTAATATCTCCGGTTGGAAATAATAAACATATATATATATATATATATATATATATATATGGAACATGGAATCTAATTGCCGTACAGGTTGTAGGTCGCCTGCGAATATGATTGTTTGGAGGGGAAGAAAAAGAGAAATTGACCATTTCAATCCGTACCATTTTATTTTAGTGATTTGGTCATATGGTACCTAATTATTGACACTTCCCAACCGAAAATTGTTTATACTTTTGAGGCTAAAACAAATGATGGAGAGACAAAAAGTTGGGCTAGCAATTGAGAACATACAAATCTCTTGTAATGAATGATCTTACACTCTTATGTAAGTGGAAGAATTGTTCCTTAGAAAAAGAAAAATTCGTTGAATTTTTGGCAAACAAATTGATTTAAAACAAATGTAAAGGGAAGAATAGTTCATCGAAGAATAAAGAAATGTAAACAGCAGATCGAATTTGGAGCAGCCTTTCATTGACTATCCTGTAATGTTTGGACAATTATGTTTTGCCACTCAAATCATGCCCCAATATTCATACTAATAAATGCATAAATGTTTATTTCAAGTGGTCTATGATTTCAATTTTTTAAATTGCACATCAAATGTAGATTCGGATTTTTGTTTTCGATTGAAATCTGCATACAGATTTTGTTAAATTGCATGCTTATTTATTATACATATATAAATAGAAGTATAGGTTTGGTGTTGGTTTTCAAATAGAACTAGATGGGTACCTGCAATATGCTACGGTCGGGCACTCGTTACATATATAGTGTTAGCAATTCGCATAGTATAATACGAGTAAAAATTTTATTTTCGATGACTAATGTAAATCGAATTGAGCGAAATCGTTATATATATATATATTAGCATAAAAATTTGTATTTGAATAATTAGAAAGTTCTTTCAAAACATTATGTAACTTATTTTATTTAAAAAAAATTAGAATATAAAAAATAAATAATAAAGAATTGGTATCATGTGTGCAAATATATAGTTAATTTCTAATAAAACTAATGATGTATATATATCATATTCGTAGTATACATAATGAATAGAAAATATATATATATAACCCCACCTAAATTGTATGAAATATATTAAAGTCAATAGACTAAAAAAAACTACAATAAAATTGATTCGATAAGTTTTGAATAAATATATATATAAAAAATAGAACTTATGAATTTTTTTCAAAAATTGAGCTAAACTATCTAAAACATACTTTTATTTCCCCTTCCCTCTCTCTCTCTCTCTATATGTATAATCATAATTTATAAATTATAATAATATATTTTTAAAATATAAAATACGTTCTAAAATTTTATTCCAAAATTCATATATTAAAAAAATTAATTTATTAACAAATAAAATTATATAAAAAATTAATTTGGTGAAAATTTTAATAAGAAAAAAATAATTGAAGAAATAAAATTTAAAAAATAAGAGTAATATATATATATATATCAAAAATAAAATCTTAACAAATATCATATATATTCTATCACCTTCAAACTATATGTAAAACTAAGAAAAAAATAACGATTTATTTTCTATATTTTTCACACCTAATTTCATGATAATATATATATATATATATATATATATATATATATATATATATGAAGAAAAAAAAGATCAAGCTCGCTAAATTGTATGAAATATATTAAAGTCAATAAATTAAAATAAAAACTATAATAAAATTGATTCTGATAAATTTTAAATAAATATATATAAAATAGCAAATAAAATTTATGACTTTTTTAACCGATTATTAATTTTTTAAAAAAATTAAGCTAAACTATTTAAAATATACTCTCTTTCTATCTCTCTCTCTTTGTGCGTGTGTGTGTGCATATATATATATATAAACAAAATTTATAAATTATAACAATATATTTTAAAAATAAAACTCTCATTTAAAAGAATAAAAATAATTTATTGTATTAATTATAATAATATATTTAAAAAACGAGACATTCTAAAATTTTATCAACAAATGAAATTATATCAAAAAAATTAATTTGATTAGAATTTTAATAAGAAACAAATAATTGAAGAAATAAATTTTAAACAATAAGAGTAAAAATTAAAAAAAAAACTAAGAAAATAAGGAAAAAAAGTAACAGTGAAATTTAAAAAAAAAAAAAAAAAAAAAACTAAGATTGAGTAGTATAATGTGATGGTAAAGTAAATCATTAGCTTCGTGTGGAAAAAAATAACGATTGATTTTTAAAATTTTTAACAATCAATCAAATAAAAAAAACACAAATTGATGAGAAAAGGGAAAAAAAAAAAAAAGCATATAGCGCATCATCCAAGGATTAAAATTTTAGGAATCGGAATGAAATAATTCAAAAAATTAAAAAAACTTAAGAAAAAAATCGAGGGTGAAAATTAAAAAACAAAAAAAACTAAGAAAATAAATAAGAGTGAAAATTAAAAAAGAAGGAAAAAAAAAACTAAGATTGAGTAGTATAATTGAGGGTAAAGCAAAAGTAAAAAAATATATATATATATTGTTCAAATGAACAGTACCCTCTTTATTCCCTCCCTCCCTCCCTCCCTCCCTCCCCCTCTCTCTCTCTCTCTCTCTCTCTCTCTCTCTCTCTCTCTCTCTCTCTCTATATATATATATATATATATATATATATATATATATATAATCAAAATTTATAAATTATAACAATAAATTTTAATAAATAAAACACTCACTTAAAAAGCATAAAAATAATTGATTGCATAAATTATAATAATATATTTTAAAAAAATATCGATATTCTGAAAATTTATTAACAAATAAAATTATATCAAAAAATTTATTTGATTAGAATTTTAATAAGAAACAAATAATTGAAGAAATAAATTTTAAACAATAAGAGTAAAAATGTAAAATAAACTAAGAAAATAAGAAAAAAGTAATAGTAAAAATTAAAAAAAAAAGGAAAAAAAATTAACATTGAGTAGTATAGTATGAAGATAAAGTAAATCATCGACTCGTTTGGAAAAAATAACGATCGATTTTTAAAACTTTTAACACTCAATCAAATAAAAAAAGAACATAAATTAATGAGAGAAAAAAAAATCAAAGAAAAAAAGACATATAGTGCATCGATTAGCGATTAAAATTTTTTAAAAAAACATTTAGGGATCAGAATGAAATAATTTAAAAATTTTGAAGAAAAAAATAAGGGTAAAAATTAAAAAGAAAAAAATAATTTTAAAATTTTAAAAAAACTCAAAAAATAAGAAAATAAGTAAGAGTGAAAATTAAAAAACAAGGGGCAAAAAAACTCAAGGAAAAAAAGCTGTTCAAATGAATAGTACCCGCATGATGGTTCACTTGTTCATACTAATTATAATAATATATTTTAAAAAATAAAACACTCATTTAAATAGCATAAAAATAATTTATTGCATAAATTATGATAATATATTTAAAAAACACCGACATTTTAAAATTTTATTAAGAAATAAAATTATATCAAAAAATTAATTTGATTAGAATTTTGATAAGAAACATATAATTGAAGAAATAAATTTTAAACAATAAGAGTAAAAGTTTAAAAAAAGTATATGAGAAAATAAGAAAAAATTAATAGTGAAATTTAAAAAAAAAAAAAAAAAAAAACTAAGATTGAGTAGCATAGTACGAGGGTAAAGTAAATCATCACCGCTTGAAAAAAATAACAATCGATTTTTAAAAAATTTAACACTCCAAATAATTGAAGAAATAAATTTTAAACAATAAGAGTAAAATTTAAACAAAAAAAAACTAAGAAAATAAGAAAAAAGTAATAGTGAAAAGTTTTTTAAAAAAAAGGAAAAAGAAAAAACTAAGATTGAATAGTATAGTGTTAGGATAAAGTAAATCATCGACTTGTTCAAAAAAAAAATAACAATTAATTTTTAAAAATTTTAATACTCAATCAAATAAAAAAAAAACATAAATTGATGAGGAAAAAAATCAAAGAAAAAAAGACATATAGTGCATCAATTAGGGATTAAAATTTTAATTTTAAATTTTTAGGGATCGAATGAAATAATTCAAAAATTAAAAAAAAAAACTATGGAAAAAAATGAAAGGCGAAAATTAAAAAGAGAAAAATGAAATAATTTTTTTTAAAAAAACTAAGAACATAATTAAGAGTGGAAATTAAAAAAAGAAGGAGAAAAAAACTCAAAAAAAAAAAAATGAACAAGTAAAATAGGAGTTCACCTGTTCAAATGAACAACGAACTCCCCACTCGTTTTAGATATATAAAGAATGTCATCAAGCAGAAAATACATTTAATAGATTTTTCTTTCTTTTTTAAATATTTTAAATACCAACATATATCAAGCGTATTGTCGCAGGATGAATTATACAACATTCTTATATCAAGGGGTGAATTATACAATATTTTTATGTATTCATTCATATAAATTATAAAATTTAAAATAATTATTTAAAAGGATCACGTGAAGTTTTTTTTTTAAAAAAATCAAAACATATATCTCATATTTTGTTGTGGGGTTAGCTAAATGAAAAATCTACAAAGTTGAGTATTATAATATTGCTAATTAGATATTGTTTGATATAAATATTTATTTTGTTAGAAATATGTATAATAATTGATAATTAAAATAATGATGTGGTAGTTTTTTAAATTTTAGATGATTAATTTTTATCATATATTCTTTATCCGTAATTTGTTAATGAGATAGAGAAACCACCCAAAACAAAAAGACAAAAAAAGCTTTGTCAAATCGAGAATTTGAAAAAAAGAATAGAGATAAAATTACACACGATAAAAATTAAATGATCAAAACAAAGTAAAGATCATAAAAAAAGAGAGTCAAAATAAATTAAAAAAAACTTTAACGAAAGGCAAATATATATATATATATATATATATATATATATATAATAAAGAATAATATCGTGAGCAGCTTTACTAAAAGTCAAGAAAAAAATATTTATTATCGAGAAAAAAATCAAATATAATAAAATTTAAATGGCTCAAATAATAAAAGGTTACAAAATAA